TTACCGATTTTATTTATCAATAAATAAATAAATTAATAAATAAATACAAAAATATCAACAGTTTCAAAACGTAATAAGAAACAAATACAGCTTTTACTGGCCGACTATTTAAGGTTTGTATTCTGGATGAAGTCCTAAAGGCAAAGGTGTGTCATCAAAACTTCGTCCATATGACGAATAACCACCATGAGCATGATGATCTTCATGAGATACAGAATGCGTGTTAGCGTGAGAGTAAATAGGTTTTGCTATAACTTCATAAGTCGTCTTTCCTCCCCCATGAGTGAGTGATTTTAGACCAATTATTGTTGACAGCATGAGAGAGATTAGACCAGTCATTAGGGCTTTTCCAGCGAGGGCTGCTAGGGCACCAAGGGCAAGGGCCATCAAAGTAGCCTTCATCATAGCGGCACCGGCAAGAAGGACACCTCCCATTCCACCTCCTTTTTTGCTATTACCACCGCCACCTCCGAAGCCGCCACCGCCACCACCTCGAGCAGTTCCTTGATTTGCGAAGTCATCTTCATTTCCAAAAAGTTTCAATTTAATGGAGTGGGTGTTGAGGTATCCAGAAACTTTTTTTATTAAAAACGCATCCAAGCGCGCTTCGACATCATTGGGAAAGTCTCTTGCTAATTCAGCTACCATGTCTGCCGTATTTGCACGAGCGGTACCATTTTCCCGAACCACGGACACTCCCGGCAACACGTCGTAATTGTCTTCCTCGTTTAGCTTATCAACCCATGAAACAATGTCAAATTTTAAACATGTAATAGTGTATTTGGAGGCGCAATCACGGGAAAGAGACTTCTTGAAATCACTTCGAGCACTTGTCGTCTTCTCCGAATTTTCTGTTGAATTTTCGCCTCGAATCGTTGTTATTACAATAAAGAGGAACGCGAGCTTCCGCCGTGGTATCATTTTTTTTTTCTGTATCTCACACTTGTTCTTTTAAGAGCTACTGATGAACTGCTACTGGTGCATCTTGGATTGCGTTTAAATAGTAGAAAATGTGGAGTAGAAAGATCGGCTTTTTTTGCTGATAATCGCCGCAATACCTGAATGAACTTAGTGGAGCAAGAACGGCAAAGTCAAGTGACGGGATAAGGCCACACCATTCCAGGACGTGGTCAGAGAGGCCGCCACATCGATTCACAGCTAACATCCCACGTTAGGCAGTTAGAATGGCTCGGCTGACCAGTTTTAGGGCGTATTAGTACCAACCAGTGCATTGTGTGCACGATCTGATTGCAACCTACTATCGCCACGTTCACTGTCCAGTCGGAATTAATTGCATGCTATCATATGGCATCGCTGTCTCGATTTCTAACATTTAAGCGCAGAATTTTATGTTTCTCGGTGTACAAATAATGACATGTGCAATTCCTGTTTAATTTTCTCGGTCCTTTGCAATCTATATAACATCAGTAAACCGCATACAGTAATTTTCATTTATCACAAAATATCTATATAAATATATAAATCAATTGCTGTTCGTTAGTCACGCTAAAACTCGATAACGGCTGGACCGATTTGGCTAATTTTGGTCTTGAATTATTTGTGGAAGTCCAGGGAAGGTTTAAAAGGTGAATAAATATGAAAGTTGTTAACTATCTTTCAGATTATTTTTATGTAGATTGATAAATCTTAAGTTCTGTCAAATTAAATTTCTGAACGCAACCATAATATTTGACATTTGTCAACTAAGTTTATTTTATACAAAAATTTAGGTCTTTTATATATCGATTGGGGCAGTACGAAGTCTGCCGGGACAGCTAGTCTATAATAAAAAAATTCATCGAAATCGGACGATTTTTCGATTTGCTAGAGCCAAAAAACGAGGGGACCGCGAAAGTATAAAATTACC